TAAACAGAGACTTCCTGTGATGAGCAGCCCATCCCAGACGAAGGTGCTAACAGAGACTGGTGACTGTCTGCTTTCTACAGCACATACAGAATCTGCGCCCTTTGGTTTCTGCAGCTCAAGAAGGAACTGCTTGCCTGCACTGTGATCTCACCAACTATTCCTATTTTATATTTCTTTCTCATTTTTCCATTTTTCATTTAAAAAAAATACTTCCACATAGTTAAAGAAAAAAAACACTAGGAGTACCGTGAGTCTTATCATAGAAATTGGTAGTCTGCTGCCTCACCCCTCCCCATCTCCAGCTCTGCTCCCTAGTAGAAGATGAAAAATGGAGTTGGGCAGGAAGAAAGGAAACTGATGTTTGTTAAGTTACTAATATGTGTATCAGGCAGTTTGCTAGATACTTCAACATGCAAGGTGAGCGTGGAAACTTCTGTGTTACAGAGCTTCTCATGTCTGGTGGAGACATCGCTATGGCCAGAGAGGCCCAGGGATAGATGATTCCATCACCCTGTGTGGGGAAGAAAGCAGCCACACTCTCTGTGGAGCCTTAAGCAGAAGGAAGACCTCAGAAGGCCTCCTCCTGATCTGGCTCTGCTTCGTGATCTGGGTTTTTCAAGCTCCACAGCTCCTGTGCGGGCTGACTACATTACCTTTATTTGTAATTCTCAGTGTCTCAATTTCCAAGAGGGTCGGCATCCCCAAATCACCCCCAGCATCTAGAAGAAGGAACTTAACCTGTGAAAGGGCCCTTCCTGGGGACCCAGGCCTGTTGGCTTCCTCGTCAGATGTGACTGTGGATTATCTCTGTCCCAGTTCCCCACCAGCTTGCTCAAGGATGCCCCCGTACTTCAGAGAAAGCTGGTTACTCAGCACCTTCCAGAAACAGAATGAAATTCTTTTTCTCTACCACACTTCATGGCTTTAGGTCCTTATTGCCGCTGGTCTGATTCAGCATGTCTGTGCTTTCCTTGGATTCCCAGCTCACTGACCGAGGGCCACTGTGGTCCAGCCTTAGCTGCAGTGAGAAGGGTTCCTATGGAACTCTTCTTCCGGGTCAGCACACTTGACTCCAGGCCAGGGCCAGTCTGTCTGAATCACAGCATTCCAGTTGCGCCCCCCTCACCCCCACCAGAGGCTTCTGCAGCTTTTTGCTCATACAAACAAAAATAAATCTCACTACCGGCCTCTGAACTCCACAGCAGCATGCTTCCCTCTTCTCCCCAAGCGTCCCATGGCTGTGAGTGGGGACTTGGCACTCTCCCCAGCGACATCACTTTTTCACTCCCTGCGCATCCTGTGTCCTTCTCTCACCGTGCGACCCAGAGATCAGAATGGGACGTGACGGCCGGCACAGGCGCCGTGCACAGCTGCCAGGAATCTGACGGGTAAAATCTGGAAAAGTTGGGAGGGCAAATGCTGAACACACACACACACACACACACACACACACACACACACACACAGCACCACTCAAGAGGGCCGGAAACACAGACACCCACAGACAAGGGCCTGCAGACTCCCAGTCATTCCTCGTCTGCTGTTCTTTTGAAGGGGACTGACTCAGTCTCATGACCCAGGTGTGATCCCCCTAGAGGGCCACTGGTACCCCAAGAGAAGGGGGAGCAGCTTCATTTAATCTCCTGAGCCCCTGGGAGGGCATGTAGGGAACAGGAAGCAGTTGTGTGGTGACTCACTGGGCAGAGCCAGGTTCAGGGAAGTTGTCTGCGGGTGTCCCTGGGACCGGATGGTGGCAGCACGACTCTGACCACCCTCAAGCAGCTTCACCCCACCCACCCCTGGGGACCCAACCAGCCGCCACCTCCCTAAGAGGCTGTGGCCTCTGTTCACCTTCCTGGCCCTGAGCCAGAGCTCAAAGAACTCAGACAGTTACAGCTTCCCTGGACCTTGAGCCTAGAGTTTTCTTCCGTCCTGTCATCAAAACATCAAGTAGGCTCAGCCCCCTGCCTCCCTTGGCCTCCTGGCTTCAGGGCCCTCCTGACCCCTGCCAGCTCCAGAGGAAGGATGGTATGAGGTCTTAGGAGCTCATGTTCCCACAGGGTAGAAAGGGCAGCCAGTTCCACTTCCTCAGAGTCAGCCTTAGGACTGGAGGGTCATTTCTGGAGGCAGACAAACAGTGGGGCGGTGGCAGAGCTAAGTGCTCGGGCCATGCCCCTGCTGCCCTCCTCCCCCCAGTGCCAGGGCTTGTCCTGCCCCTTCTCATCCGCAAGGACAGAGCTTCGGGGTTCTGACACCAAAAGAAACGTCCTGGCAGTGCCAAGGCCAGATAGAGAATGCCGAGACCTGGGAAACTGAGCAGCAGGCATGCTGATGCCCCGTCTGTGTGAGGAGGAGGACGAGCAGGCTCACTAAAGCTGAGTGGGGACCATTTCCTGTTCTCAGAATGCCCGAGCCAGTACACGGCATTACGTCCCGATTATCTCTCAATAAAAAGAGAATTTTTAAAAAGTGTCCTAAGCTGAGTTCGGTGGAATTTGTGTCACCCTCTAGTCAGCAGCCCCACGAGGAGGGACCCATGGCCTCTGGGAGGGTGGCCAGCAGTGGTGCTTCCCCTCAGTGAGGTGAGAAGCAGAGGAAGCCTTCAGCAGGCTGCGCCCCTCAGCTGCGCTCACTTCTCATGCCTGCCAGCGCCCTGTGCCTTCCAGCAGCTGTGGTGGCAGTGGCAGCAACGACTTACTCATAGGGAGAGGTCCCCGGCAGGTCACAGAGGAGCCACCCCCAGCGTTCAGAGGCAGGCCCTTTCAGTTTTACTGTCATTGCCAGTGAAACCTGAGCACCTTTCTCACTGACTGTTAGTGGCCAGGGCCCAGCCTGTGGGCCCCATCTCAGTTGGCACGCACATCTGTTCCCCTGCCCTGTGCCTGTGTCCCTGCAAGCTGGTATGTGGCAGGAGGCCATGAGAGGGCAGGACAGGGCTGGGCCCTGCTCGCCAGGCCCCTGCCAGGTTCATTTTGGTACCCTCCAGCTCCGTACACAGGGAGCACACTGTCTGGGCAGTTGCCTGCAAGTCAGTTCGCTTCTTGGCCACGGTCCCCAGAGGAGGAAGCAGCACAATAGTGACCACGTTCTGTAGTGACAGACATACCCAGAGCTGATTGTGGAGGGCCGCTGCCATGCAAGATTCTGTCAGACTTGAGGAAATTGGGCTTTTACACATCTGTAGATGTGCTTGGAGCTTCCCTGAAAGATGTGAACATCTGTAAGACTAACGAGCAGTAGGCCACATGCCTTCCGATCCACGCGTATATGCACGTGTGTATTCTTTTCCAGGTTCTTTTCCATTATAGGTTTTTATAAGATACTGAGTACAATTTCCTGGGCTGTACAGTAAATCCCTGTTGTTTATCTGTTTTACTTATAGTACTGTGTATCTGTTAATCCCATACTGCTAATTTATCCCTCCCCTCCACCTCTTTCCCCTTTGGTAACCATAAATTTGTTCTCTATGTCTGAGTCTATTTCTGTTTTGTAAGTAAATTCATTTATATTATTTTTTTTTAGATTTCACATATAAGTGATACCATATAACATTTGTCTTGCTCTGTCTGACTTACTTCATTTAGTATGGTAATCTCTAGGTCCATCCATGTTGCTGCAAGTGGCAGTATTTCATTCTTTTTATGACTTGAGTAATATTCCGTTGTATATGTATACATGTGTATGTATATACATATATACCATACATTGTGTGTGTGTGTGTGTGTATATGTATACCACAGCTTCTTTATCCATTCATCTGTTGATGGACACTTTAGGTTGCTTCCATGTTTTGGCTATTGTAAATAGTGCAACTGTGAACATTGGCTGCGTGTATCTTTTCGAATTAGACTTTTCATCTTTTCTGGGTATGTGACCAGGAAGGGGATTGCTGGCTGCGTGTATCTTTTCGAATTAGACTTTTCATCTTTTCTGGGTATGTGACCAGGAAGGGGATTGCTGGATCCTAGGGTAAGTCTATTTTTAGTTTTTTAAGGAACCTTCATACTGTCCTCCACAATGACTGCACCAATTTACATTCCCACCAACAGTGTAGGAGGGTTCCCTTTTCTCCACACCTTCTCCAGCATTTATTATTTGTAGACTTTTTGACAATGGCCATCCTGACTGGTGTGAGGTGATACCTCATTGCAATTTTGATTTGCTGACTCTTTACTGTAGAAATTCAGCTTGTGGTGGTAAACATATGCCTAGGCTGTCAAACTCCCAATATCATGGATATTATTTGCTGAGCCAAAAAAAATCAGTTGACTTAAAGTCAGTTTAAAGGAAAACATCAGGTAAATAAGAGTATAGATTGTACAGAGTCATGGCAAAGGAGCACATGTAGAACCCAGAGACTGCTGTTCAGGGAGCACTGCTGGTCCGGGAAAGATGCTGGTGATTCTCACTAGTCTGGGTGACATTCTTCACGGACCTGCACATTGGTTTAGGGTTAGGGATATGCCACCGCAGGAGGCTTTGGTGTTTATTAGGAATTGTCAGCATCACTTTTTCTGTATAGACTTTGAGTTTGTCCTTTTTTTTTTTTAAACCACACGGTGAAGTAATTGAGATAAATTATGTGGGATATATGTGTATGTATAAAGTGTCCGGATTGAGAAATACCCCCTGTATATGCTGCCTAGATAGTATGTGAAACCACTTTCAAATCCAAGGAACCTAACTCTCCCTTGTTGATTTTTAGCCCAAGGTCTTACTTTCAGAGATCCGTTATTTTTAATGCCATCAGAGTCCCATCTCAGTCCTATGCAGGGTTCAGTCTTGCCCTGTTCCCCAGGCCATTTGGTCTATGTTGCCTTTCACTGCAGTGCTCTCCCCAGCCCTTGGGCCTGTCCCTCAGGCCCAGCAGGGGCTGGCTGTCCCTCTAGAGGGGAAGAGGTTCGGAGGCAGGATGCTGACACACGGTGGAGTCAGAGCCCTGGCTCGCCCACCACTTGCCTGTTCACTCTGTGGCTCACTCGCTGTTCTGTGTCCCTTAGGCTGTCCTGGAGGACCAGAGTCAGATGAGGCAGATGGAGCTCGAGATCAGACCCTTGTTCCTTGTACCAGACACCAACGGCTTCATTGACCACCTGGCCAGTCTGGCACGGCTGCTGGAGAGCAGGAAGTACATCCTGGTGGTGCCCCTCATCGGTGAGTCAGGCCTGAGCAGCCCTGCACGTGCGCAGCCACCCGCTTTGCACACATGCCCCACAGCCTGGGGGCCAGGCAGGCAGAACCCTGTGTGTGTGTAAGACAGGATTTGCAGGGAAGTAGGGAATGCGTGGGGCAAGGAAAATTGTTTAATAATCAAAGCAGTTCAAATTATTATGGCTGATCCATGGCTTAAACTGCTTGAGCAAATGGACTCCTGTGTCCCAGCAACCAGAGGCTGCATGAGCCCAGCCCTTGTTTTTATCCTTATAAAGCTTGCAGTAAAACAGCAAAGCTGGTTCCCGTTATTGGTAAACACTCAGCCCTGGCAGATAACGGCAGTGCTGCTGGGTGGTCTGGCAGGGAGGCTGGGAGGATTTTGAAGTGGTTAGATGCCTTTGGTCTGATTGTCTTGTAGCTTTTCATGATCATTCTGTTGGTTCGAGGTAGCATTCTTCTGGCCAGTGTCACCCTAAGGCCAGGCTGATGGAAACCCTCCAGATCAAGCCCTTGGCTCAAGCCTGTGGATTCCTGCCACTTGGGCCCTTACCACTGTCTGGTCATTGGTGCTGTACAGGATCAGCATCTCAGGACCCAGCTAGCTTGCTTCCACCCTCAGGCCAGACAGCTGGGCTGTCTCTAGGGGACTGTCTAAGGCACCCCTGGTTCTTGGCACCCTGTGGTGGGTCAGCCTCAGGATGGGCTTTGGGCTCTGGGCTCCTGTCTAATGTAACGGATACAGCTAATATCTCTGATGGCTATCCTGTGGAGGGAGAGGGTCTGGGAGATGATTGGGAAGCCCAGGCTTATTAATGTCCCCTTATCAGCGGCTACTTGGAGCAAGTTTGGGAGCCCTGTTCTCTGGAAAAGCTGCCAGACTGGCAGTCTGCCTGCCAAGCCACCTCTGACATCCATGCCAAGATGTTCCATTGGGCCTTCCCTCCCAGTCCCTAGTGTCTTAGTGCCAGATGAGGGTGGAAACAAAGGGCAGGAAACATCCGCCCCTGCAGAGGCTAGAGAACCCTGGGGGGTTGTGGGAAACACGTTAGCACCACCTGAGAATGTTGGCACTGAAGCAGCCCTGTCCCGCCTCCACCCTCCCTGTCTTCCTTCCCCCTCCCCATGTGGCCTGGCCAGAACCTCTTAAACCCAGGCCCTTAGACCCAAGGGAAGGTTTTCTGTTATTCAAAAGTAGAGCAGCTTGTCCCCCCAAGGCAGAGCAAGACCATCAGGTTATTGCAGCTCCCCCTCTGCCCTTGCTGGGTGACTATGCTTTCCTACCCAGGAGATTTTCAGGGGGTAGAAAGCATATTAGTCACTTTTTTGCTGGATGGTCAGGAAATGGTATAACTGAGAGAGGTTGCTGACATCTCAGGAGCACCCTAAGTCTTGGAAGGAGCCTCAGACAGCATCCCAGGCTGGCAGAGTTCTTGGTCACCAGCACTGATTGTTCTCCTGCCATGTGTTCAGTCTCCTTGTTCCCATGGGATCCAGGGAAAGGCAGAACTGCAGCCCTGGGCCTTGAAGAGCTTATGGTTCAGTGGGGAAGCCAGATTCAGTCGGGAATAAGCAAATATGTGTGAACACCCAGAGGAGAAGCTATGTACAGAATAAATAGACAACCCCCAGGGGTGTTGGGAGATACCAGCTCTGTCACAGCTTCCAAGCCAGTCTCTCTGAAGTGTCCTCAGTTGGGCAGGGCCCTGACTCTCAGGAGCTGCAGAGGAGGCTCCTGTTCAGTGAGGCGCCCTCAGTGGACTCTTCGCCCAGAGCATGAAGAGTTAAGCCGACAGCCTTCCCTGATTGTTTCTTGTGCTCTTTAACCTGCTCCGTGCTCCTTAGGCCTGACCCCAGCATGGAGAAGCCCCGCCTGGTGCAGAAGCACAAACAAGCTTCCCCTTTGAAGCCTGTTTGGTTTGGAAGCAGGAAAGCAGATTTTGGGATAGAATACCAGTTTTCATGTTTGATGTTCTGTTTGCTGTACCATCCACCCATCCACCACTACTCCCCAACCTCGGCCATACATTGTATGGACACTGCAGCCTCAGGTTGCTGAAAGCATGGGGGGTTTGTGTGTGTGTGTGTGTGTGTGTGTGTGTGTGTCTGTGCGCGCGCGCGTGCATGTGCGTGTATTCCCACACGGGCCCTTTCCAGAAAGTGTCTCTGAATACCCAGACAGTGAGTGCCAGGCTCACCATGGAACAGCATGCTCACGCCGGCTCCCCAAGCCATGAATCACTGCACAGAGGAGAGGCCTCAGACCCCAAACTCTCCCGGAGCCCCCAAGGAGTGCATATTTCCCACTTGACCTCAGGCTTTTGGCTGGAATTTTGGAAAGAATCTTCACCAGAAAATGAAGCCGTGTCCCAGACACATAGGCAGGCAGGCAGGCAGGCAGACACACACACACACACACACACACACGCACACACACATGCGCGTGCGCACACACACGTGCAGTATCAGAGGAGGTAGACATGCCAAGGGTATGGTTTGGGGAATAGCAGGGTCCTTGTAAGTGAGGCTGCGACCACCGCTTCCCACCTGCTGACCTCCCTGCACTCCACTGGGGGTGAGCAGAGAGCTGGGCCCCTCCTGCACTGCTGTGGTTGAGGGCCCACGCAGATGAGGGAGAGCGCCTCTTTCACTCTAGCTGCTACATACTCTTGCCTTTCCTGAGAGACCCTCTCAATTTGATCCTGTAACTAAGGAATGCAGTAGAGGGGCCAGGTTTCTTCCTCTGAAAACAACAGCTCCAGAAAACCCCTGTAAGTTCCTCCCAGGAGGAGGGTGGAGCCCAGGGGAAGAGGCAGGAAGAGGATAGAACATTGTGTAAAGTCTGGGGGCACTTCTTGCCCCCAAGGGTCCCCAAGTTTCATTGGAGGACTCCTGTGGGGTAGGGTGGCTTCTGTGGTCTGGGAAGGGGCTGGCTGGGAAAGCGAGGCCTACGGTGAAGGCAGACGTAATTGCTGACTGCTGAGGCTGATTCCTTGCGGGACTGTGTCTCATCAGTGATCAACGAGCTGGACGGCCTGGCCAAGGGGCAGGAGACAGATCACCGGGCTGGGGGCTATGCCCGTGTGGTGCAGGAAAAGGCCCGGAAGTCCATTGAGTTCCTCGAGCGGCGATTCGAGAGTCGGGACTCTTGTCTACGGGCCCTGACCAGCCGTGGCAATGAACTCGAATCCATTGCCTTCCGCAGTGAGGACATCACTGGCCAGCTGGTGAGACCCATGGCAAAAAGGGAGTGCCTGCAGCCAGCCTTCAGAACAGGGTCCCAGGCGGGGGAGGGTCTAGCTCAAGTGGTAGAACACATGTTTAGCATGCACAAAGTCCTGGGTTCAATCCCCAGTACCTCCTCTAAAAATAAATAAATAAAAACTTAATCCTCGTCCACCCCCCAAAGAAAAGAACAGGGTCTCCAGGAGGGAGGGACTAAAGGAAGGCCGGTGAGCTGCCAAGGGCGCAGCCACCATTGAGGCCCAGGAGGGGGAGTTCCTTGTTCCCCAGATCACTCTTGGTGCAGTTGGACCTGGCCAAGCAGGGCTAGGGCATGCATGGGAGGGACATTGGGATATGACCTTCCCAGGACCCCAGAGGCAGAACACACCTGTACCTGCTCTGCATGGCTCCCGCTCCTGCCCAGTGGTACTTACCCTGTCTTCCTCCAGGGTAACAACGATGACCTGATCCTCTCCTGCTGCCTCCACTACTGCAAAGACAAGGCTAAGGACTTCATGCCCACCAACAAAGGTACAGCTTTGCCTCTGCCTCGGGACCATCCCTTCCTCTCCCTACTTTGATCTACTGTCCTCAGCCCTGGGGAAGTGTCCCTCTGCTGACTCCAGCTTCCCAGCTTGGGAAGTTTAAGGGATCAGGGATCAGGCCTCATGCAAACCTCAGACCAGCCCAGTCTCCTGGCCTCCTAGAAGTCAGACATCACTGTTACAGCTCCCCAACACTGAGGTGGACCCTGGGCCAACTAGGAATGGGCCCAGCCCAGGAAGCCGGGCTCTAGGCAGTGAGCTTTCCCGCTCCGTGTGCATCCATTTCCTTTCTTGGGTCCTCAGTGAGTTTTCTGACAGCAAGAATGTCTTAATGATTCAGTGTAGCTTATTCTGGCCATGGTCTCCTGAGCCCAGCCCTCTGCAGCTCTGAGGACAGTCCCCAGTGGTCCCTGGGGCCCACCTCCCTGTTCTTGGCCATGCTCAGCCTCTCAGCTCATCCATGACTGTTTACCCTGTGTTAGGCCAGGAGTGGGCCTTTTCTTCCTGTCTCTCTGGTTGTGTGACAAAGCACTTTGGAGGCAGGTGAGAGCTTGAGGACTGAGCCCTCAGCCCAGTTTTCCAGACCCTTTTGGGGAGCAGAATCCCGTCTTGGCGCCAGAGGCTGTCTTCCAGGTGCTTGAGCACCTCACCCTCAACCCAGAACTCTCTCCTCAGAGTCAGCGAGGCTCAGGAGTTTTCCGCTCGTGGCTCCCAGGACATTTCTTCTTTTGGAAGGAAATCCTAGGTCCTCCTAGCTCAGGGTCATCTGCAGAGCTGATAATTCTCACCATTTGGTCTCTGTCTGCATATTTGTAGCCTCTTGTCATTTTCTCTTAGTTGTTGTCACCCATCTCTCTCCTGTATTCATTTTCCCAGCCCTGGCTTCCAGGCCAGCCTGGGGATTATCTTCTCTCCAGCTCTCCTCCCACCCAGTCACTGCGGCACCTCACTCCTGCCCAAGTCTCTGTACCTGAGGCTGGCAATGAGCCCACAGCTGCTGCTCTTCAGCGGGGTCCTGCCATGTAGCTTGCGTGTAGTGTCCCTTAGGGCCAGATCTGGAACATTCAGGTGGTAAAAAGGAGTCCTGGCCGAGCTGAACAGAGGAGGTTGGGCTCTGCTCCCAGGCAGCTTCCTAGAGGGGCACCTTCTGAGGGAGAGGTAGGCAGGACTGCAGAAGGCCTTGTTGGGAAGTACGGTTCAGATACTGCTGTGGCCCCACCCAGCCTCAGAGCTGTTTCTTTCTTAGCAGAGACACATTTTGGCTTTGACCCTACTAGTCTCTCCACCCCCCCCCTTTACCCCAAACAGCCTCCAGGATCCCATTGCCATCCTGGGACCCGCCCCTATCAGAATTACATCAGCAACGGCTGGTGTAATCAAACCCCATTTGTCAGTGTGAATTCTTAGCAGATTAACTTGTCAGATTCACAGAGAAACCATCACCAAATGTTTATGTGTAAACGATGTTGAATTTTAAAATCATGTGGATTATGGCGGATGGGGCCTGACAAGATGACAGTCTCTGGTTTCTAACAAAGTGAAGTTACCAGTGTCGAAACAGAGGATGTTTATTGTTAAAAATGTCTCAAAGTATCCACAGAAACCCCTGCAGACCCCTGCCAGCAATGCCGGGCCTTGGTTGGCTGACCTAAGGCCTGGGACTCGCCTGGTCCGAGTCCTAGGGCAGGAACGGTGGGGCTGCAGACAGACTCAGGCAGGAGCCCCACACGGCCCTGCACATCACCCCGCCCCACCCCACACAATCCGGAGGGGCCAGGTCCAAGCAGTTAAGCCGTCTCAGAGCATCTCCTACCCAAGGCCGCCTTCCTCTCCCTCTTGGTTGGCCACAGCCCCTCATCTACCACCACACCCTCCTTCCGCCTCTCCCCTTCTCTCACCACCATCAACCCCAGGAGCCTCTCCCTCCCTCTTCCCCCAAACTCCTCCCAAGTCTGGCGGCCAGTTCTCAGCCTCCCTGCCTGGAGCTGGCAAGCCTGAAACTGCTCAGGTCCGACATGGACATCTGCAATCCCCCAGCTCCGCCAGCCCCGCCAGCCCCTGCAGTCAGTAGGCCCCGGAGGATGTTTCCTGTGCCTCACTGTCTGCTGGACCTCCGTCAGGAAACACCCAGCCTGGGACTGAGGAGTGGACCTGCCACCCAAGGGGCCTTAGCAGGGGTGGGGATGTCACTTGTGTGAGTACTTAGCCCCAGCTTAAGTTCTCCCTGATACATTATTAACAGGTTAGGGAATTAGGGGGAAAGTGGTGGGGGAAGACATCCTGCTAAAAAAGTCATCCAAAAAGAATGAAGACTGTTTGTACTGATATAGAAAGAGCTTTAAAATCTTTAAAATTTGAATGAAGTTCTTACGGCTACAATGATTGTAATGTTACAGAAAGGAAAGCTTATATAACAAGTATTTATGCTTGTAAATGTGCATAAAGAAATCTGGAAACATACAGAGCTCCACCCTAGGAAACAAGACAGACACACGTGAGGGAGAGAACAGGGAGGATGATCCAACTCTACCTTTCCTTTTTCTGTACTTCAGAGGTTTTTACCATAGACGTGGATTACTTTTATTTAATAGAGGGAATCTTTTGGCTCTAGCCTCAGGTCTACCTTGGCTGGGTTCTGCCAGCCCCTCTCCTTGGAACTCCCTGAGCTAAGCCCCCTCCTCAGATCTTGGGAGCCGTGCATACACTTTGTATTCCATCTGGAGTTTTCTCCCTCTGCATACCTAAAGCATTAACCTGCTGGCCTTGAGGGGACGTGCAAAAGGAGAGTCCTGGACCACCACGCCGTCAGAAGAAGAAGGGCTGCTTCTGTTCCCTCAGCTCAGAGTCTGGAGAGAGGTCTCTGCAGAGGCTGATGGGCTGGGCAGCTCTCCGGGCAGGAAGCAGCACAACCCTGTGCTGGAAGCAGGAGTGCAGAGCACAAGGCCAGCCACAGCCTTCACAGCGCTCCCTAGGCCAGCAGGGGAGGGGCACCCTCGGCTGACTGACTACAAGAGGGGAAGGACCTAGAAATGGCTAGCCTTGACCCCCCCGCCAGGACCGCTTTCCCCTCCAGTGGAGGAGAGGCAGCCAGTGCCTCTGCCTCCTGCCCTCAGTGAAGTCCCTCTGCTCTCTCATGCCAACAGAGGAGCCAATCCGGCTACTGCGGGAGGTGGTGCTGCTGACGGATGACCGGAACCTGCGCGTGAAGGCGCTGACCAGGAACGTGCCTGTGCGAGACATCCCGGCCTTCCTCACGTGGGCCCAGGTGGGCTGAGGGCACCTCAGCGGGGCCCACCCCATCGGAACCATTTCTGAGAGGCCACCAGGCACCCAGTGTAGCACAGAAGATGCCCACGTGCCTGAGCCACCAATCCACCCAGACAATAAACCATCCTCTTCCAACCCACGCCGTGGCCGTGCTGTGGGGGAGCTGCTCCTCACAGAGCCCCTCCCAAGGGTCTGGCAGAAGCTGCAGGGACCCTCCTGGGCTGCCAGGATTTAGCAAGGCGGTGGCTGGCTACAGTGTCAGCAGGTGGGCGAGCCAGATAGACCACCCGTCTCAGCCTTTCTCCCTCCCCCTGTCCAGTTCAAGGGCTGGAGGAAGAACTTAGCCCAGGGACTCAGCCACTTTTTCAGCTGGAGATGGGGCACAGGGGTGAGTTTCCATCAGATGCAGGTGAAATCATGGGTCCCTTTAATCTTCAGAACCCCTGACGTGAATGTGTCCAGGAGGCTTTGGTCTTGCCATGAAGAGATTGCCCAGGGTGTGTCTCTCTCCCTGAGGCCTGGATTCCCCTGTGGACCCCAGTTGGGTTCTGGACACTGTGTCCTGAACAGCAGCCCCAGGCCCCACCTCTTCTACCCCACCCCACCCCAAACGCACACCCATCCTGCTATTTTTCTTCCTGTCCTTACCAATCTGGGTCCATCATACTTTGCCACTTGTTTTCCCCTCAGTTGGTCATAGGTCTGTAGCGAAGGGACATCTGCCCTCAGGCCCATGCTTCCTGAGTGGCCTTTGCCTGCTCCCTCTCCCCTCATCAGCCTGCCTTCTGCTCTAATTCCCGCTTCACAAAATTTCCTCAGACTCTTTTCAATTCCCCCTCCCCCCCTTGACTCATCCTCCTCACCCTCCTTCCCTTTCTCATTGATCCCTCTCACTTCCTGGCCCCCTCAGTTCCTTGCCATGGGGGTTCTCTCTCGGAATCTTCCTCCTCCAGTACCTATGGCAGGAACCTAATAAAGCTTTCCTGCCTCTGACCTTTCTCAGGCCCCTGTGCTCTGAGAAACTTCAGGAGGCTTGTCGAACCCAGCCTGAGGGTAGGGTGGGCCAGTGCCTGAGAGGAGCATTGCCTAACCTGGAGTTTGCACCCTGTTTCTAGCTTTGCCCCGAAGAACTTGACACAGGGGCCCTTTGGCCTTGGAGTTTTTTGTTGCCTCTTTAGCTGGCACCTGTGTTCACAGCCTCGATCAGGAGGCTTCGTACTAGGAATGCATTCTCCCAACCCAGGGACAGGGATGAGGGGGATTTACAGGAAGACAGGGTTTGGAGGAGGAGCCAGGAGTCAGTTTTGATGGGACCAGTGGGGGAATCCCCCAGAACCCCCCATCTGACTATACATATACAGCCTGCCCAGAAGATGCAAGGCTGTACCCTCCCTGAGGCCCAAGATATGCCAGAAGGACAGGGAACTGTGCAAGAGAGCCATGGCCCATCTCGGGGTATGAGTCCCCCAGGGCCTCAGAAGACTGGGCTCTGAAGTATAGGGTCCCCGGTTTCTTCTTTGAGATCCTCTCCCCTGGATGAGGGCTGATGACTGGGTGGGTGGGAGACCCCATCTCTCCTTCCTGTCCCATTTGCGGCACTGGTTTTGTTTCCGTAATAAATTTTTAGTTATGAAACATACCTGACCTCTCGCTGATCTGTCTCTGGGACTGAGGAGGGAAGGTCCAAGCCTCTGCACCTGTATAAGGGCACTGCTTCTGGCCCCTGCACCCACCCAGGTGGGGCCCACCCAGCTTCTTGTGCAGGGCGGAAGAGAGCCGCTGGGTCCAGGGTCCTTGGTTACTGCTTTATTGCTGTTTGGTTCGAATATAGAAAATGGAAGCGGCTCTGGAAGAGCCTGTGTACAAGGTAGGAAATATACAAACGAGGAGGAGGGAGCTAAAGAGACCACGTTCCAGCCCAGCCCAGCCTGGGCTCGGGATGGGGGGCCGCCCGGGGCGCATGCAATAAATATGGTCTGGGGCCCCAGGGAAGGGAGGTGGGACCACCGCGGGAGTGGGAGACCGGGTAGACCAGGGCTGTCTCAGCCCTCTGACTCCAGAGGGAGGGAAGGGTTGGCCCTGGGGCTAGTGCCACTTGTGCAAAATGAGGAACTTCACATTATCAGTCCCGGGGCGGGCGGGGGCGGGGGCGGGGAGCCCTCCGGCCGGCTCAGTCCCCTCCCCGCTCCCCAACCCTGCCCGACGCTCCGACCCCAGCGGGGCGATTCACAGTGAGAATGGGTGTGGTCGCAAGGGCCGGAGGTAGGGCTGGGAGCGCCCCAACAGTGACACCCCTCCCCCCAAGAGCAGCACGGAGCCGAGGGAAGGGGGCCAACTAACCACAGGAAGAGGCGGAGAAGGGCCGGGGGTCTCCTTTGGTCAAAGCTGATATCAAAAATATAAATCTCCCTTCCCCTATCCCACCCCCGTCCCGGGGTTTCCCCCCCACCCCCATCCCCGGGCTAAGGCACAAAGCAGTGAGGCCAGGTGAGGCCGCAGAGAGGTGGGGCCGCTG